AAAAGGTAAAATAAGACAATCTTAACGGGACGGGGGGAATAGTAATTATTATCAAACTTGAATAATATTGTTGTGTTTAGACTTTGGAAGCGTCAAAATGTGACAGTAATTATGTATATTTAGTCTATCAAAACATGACAGACAAATTTTGGAATTCACAAAAAGTTCTCCCCATTTAATTTAGAGCAATTTCTTTAAAACTAAACATTGCGCCATTGCCCATGTTTTGAAACCGATATTTTACATGGACCGAAACTAGAACCATATATTAGCGTCCCATATGCATATGACTTGCTTCAACCATTACCGATGGGTTCTAAAGTTAACTTCGTATCAAAATGAGTATCTCATTTGGGTTTTCACTAGTTTAAGAAAATGTTACTCCCTCCTATTGGACAGGATCATTCCTCGAGACAGATAGAGTATACTTATAGTCAATCTAGTCATATTTTTCATCAATAAATTTTATGATTGTAATATTAAAAAATACATTTAATAACACGGTAGTGGTGAGGAAGTTGATATCGATAGCAATAAAGTACAATAATAAGTTATAAACAATAATTTATGTACAAAAATGTGACTATAATGTTAATATAAGTAAGTTTTATAGGAGTAGTTACTATAATGTAGTATTTAAATACAAATATACAATTATAGTCAATGAAGTTACTAGGGTCACATTTTTAACTAAAATAGTACCCACATTGATTTGGATCGAAGTTTAAGAAAGTTAGAATAAAATAGAAATGTATGATTGTGGTTGAGAAAGAAAAAATTAAATGAATATGAGTCACACAAAACTTTCCAAAAAGGGAAATTGGAACTATTTTTTGGGACGGCCCAAAAAGAAAACCAGGAACTATTTTGCGAGACGGAGAGAGTATAAGTTTATTTTACACTTTACAAGTTTATTTCAATACTGTGTACTTTATTAAAGTACTAGTATATTATAGTTCCTTTGGAAGATTTCTTTCCCAACAAAAGGAATGAGAAAATTAATTTGATACAATCCACAAAGGAAATTGGAACAATTATTTATGTACGGACTACGAAAGGACTATTATACTCCCGCTATATTCTTTTTTTGCTACACTTTCACAACTTTTGGGCTTTTGTTTGCTACACACTCCCTTTTTAATTTTTTCCTTTAAAAATACTCAACTACCATGTTTTATTTTTCATATTCTCTTTCATATTTTTCCACACTCTCTCTTATTTTTGACCCTATTCATTACTTCTACATTTTTTCTCTTAAATATTGTGTCAAACTTATTGTAGCAAAAAATAGAATATGAAGGGAGCATAATATGAAGGGAGCATATACACTTATGTATGTGCACGCATATAATATAATAGATATATCTATTGAAAACATTATATATATATAATGTAATAATATACTACCTCCATCTTAAATTATTTTTATCACTTTGAATTGGCGCGCTAATTAATAAACTGAAAATGTATAATTGTTGTTGAGCTGAGAAATATGAATTGTAAGTCTATACAATACAAACTATTACTTCAAAGCAAATGGGTAGAAAGTTTTGTGACATACCAAAGAGGTAAGTGGAAAGAACATTATAAGATGAAGCCATTGAGCTTGTATTCTAAAAGGCGTGAGGCCTAACAAGGCGCCAGAATCAAGGCTCAAACTTTGAAGCTTAAGTGAAAATAGGCAAAATCTAGGCTTGAAAAAAACGTTTTAGATTTCTATTGATAATTACTACTCCGTATTTTATAATGATTTATGAAGAAACAAAAATAATGTCCAAAAATATAATATGTCAGTATACAAGGTTGATCGAGCATAATTTTTACTTGATTCGGAATATATAATTTTTCTTTCCAATAAATAATTTATCTAAAAATAACTCGTTTGTTCACTCCCAGACAGGGGAGGATCTATGTACGGCTATGGTAGGCTGAAGTCCAGGGCAACCTAAAAATTTTTCAATTTTTTTAGTGTAAATTTTTTCATTTTTAACATTTAGCTCACCCCTCTAATATTTAAGCATAGTATAAATCCTATTCAGCCTATGGCATCTCAGATTCCTGGATTTGCCCCTGCTCGCAGGCCTCACTTTTGGGGTTTAGACTACGGCCTTTTCACGCATCGGGTTCAGTTAACCATTTTTTCACGCTTTTCTACCATGTTGTGCATTTTCCTGCTACCTCGCCTCAGCGCACTCAAGCCCTGTCTTTTAGCGCCTTTGAGAACATCACGATAGTATATTATTACATTATAGGGTACTCCATCTAAAAGTATTTTGCCAACATTTTTTTATCTAACATTCTAACCGTTGCAATTAAAAAATTGTCAATTTCATTTAAAGTACTCCATCTATCCAAAAAGTTACATTTACATTGTGGATTTGAGGTTTGATCAACGATAAAGAAACTTCCCCTTGACAATTCTTCGATCAGAATTAAAAATGAAAATTTGCATATTCATCAACTAAATTACAAGATCTATACATTTGCAAAACATAAATTTAAATAAATAAATAAAATATTGTATTCATAAAATTAGAGATCAAAAGTGAAATGGATTGACCAGTGAATAGTGTAACTTCATTTTTGGACCAAACCTAAACAAGTCAAACTCACCGGTCTGTAAGCAAAACAAACTTGAGTCAGACCATGTATATCAAGCATTCCCGTCCAGCTGGTTGTGAGGTTACCGTGCCTAGTGGGAGGTCTCGAGTTCGAAACTCGCTAGACACATAAGGGTTCGAAACTCAATGGAGTGAGTTTCAACCCTCATTACTCCAGGCCTTCTCCCCCAGACCCCCTGGTGTTAAAAAATGGGTGTCACTCCATCAATGAAAAAGTCATATCCAAAATGGTCAATTCCCGATCCATAATCATGGTCCGCAATTTGGAATTCAGGGTAAAGGTCCTGGTTCTATTTTGGAGGAATCAGACCGGATCAAGATATTGATTTTGGCCTAGTGTATACTCCCTCCGTCCCCGAAAGAAGTTCTCATTTTCCTTATTTGGATGTCCCTAATTTAAGTTCTCATTTCCTTAAATGGAAAGTTATCTTCATCAAAACAGTGTCAAACAGTGTCGAAACAATGTCAAAACAGTAAAATTTACCCACTGGTAAGTTTACTTGCATAAAAGTGTGTGAAAGTCAAATGGAAAATTTCTTTAGGGGACGGAGGCATTATATTTTTGAAGACGTGAGTCGTGACAAGACAGCCCTTAATATAATCACTCAAAATCAAAATTATCAAATTTCATGCACGTCTAGCACACTTGTTTATGTGCACAAAAAACTTCTACACTTTCAAATGAATGACCTTTGTATACCGGGAAAATAGAAAGTGTACACAAAGTATAAAAAACGTGTACAAACAAGTATGCCCGGGGGATTTGCATAGGACCACCTCATTCCCAACAAACATCATTATAAGCTTCATCAATTATCTTGTCACATCTGCGTATATTTCTAAACAAACTTTGAGTATTGTAGTTATTAGTTGCGCAACTCTCATTGAAGCACCTTCTATGAACTTGTTAGCAATAAATATAACTCTTTATAATGCCGATTATAATTATTTATTTACATGTATTTATATCTTATAACTAATACTTCATATCTATCTTTTTTAACCACTTGAAACAATTTTCAGCTCGCTCAAAACTAAACAATCTGTCATATGTGTGTGTGTGTGTTGAACACCCCCAATACAACTCTCAAAACTCAAAATCTAAAAGCTCAAATTACCATCATTTAAATGAAAAAATAACAAGATCAACCAATATAAAGCTGGACATGAACTAAAAGCATAATGTAGAGACAAGGAAGAAAATTCCATGTGCTGTTGTGCTCAAAACGTGTCTGGTCACAAGCCCAAATGGTGCAGATTTCAAAAGGATCAAAGCACATGTTTTATGAAACTTCGAACTGAGCTGTCCCCATGTTCTGTCTACCTTAAACAAAGTCCAGCTAAATTGGCTATTGAAACTGCATGATTATGTGGGTATAGAATGTCATAAAAGAAAATCAATATCACTGAAAGTATATCACTGAAGCTAATTACTTCCTCCACCTTTCCATTTCATAAAAAAAAAGAACAAAAACTTCAATCTGGTAAATTTATAACCGTAGCTGGAAAAAAAACTGAATTCTTCCGACAATTTGGGGAAATTGCCATTACGCCATTTCTTGTAACATCATACACGTTGAGTTATACTGAGTATTTCTATAAGGCTGAAATAATACTGGCATTACAATATGGATCAGAATGCTGTAAAGGCTTAGCTAGAATTCTAAATACTTGCAGTCTTATCAACAATCAACACCAAAAGTGAAACAGACTAATAGTAACATGGAGACGAATACCAAAATCAAATCCTTGTATTAGACATCTTTACTTGAACGGGCTAGGTTCTCGTACCTTTTGATCTCTTTGGGAAGCATGTGCTCAGTTTTATTGTTGAAGTGAGTTGTTTGAAGTTGAATTACTGATGCAAGTATTCTTGATTACTACTCGTATTATAAACTGCTTTCTGATACTTGCCAGCATTCTGAGTTGTCACTTAAGATTGATGACGATCAGCTACTCAATTTACCTTGCATTTCCATGAAACCTTAGCCAAGGTTTGCTCTGGGGATTTCCAAGGGAAGAGGGTTTGGTTGATTTTTTACTAATTTATCTTCATTTGTTAGTTCCAACAATATAAATTTAGGAATAATTTTTTTAAATACCACCTCATACCATATTTTCATTCCGAAATTCCCAAGCCCTCAGTGTTCATCTGGAATTGTGAAAGTATGAGGGGGGTAGGAGGACCAGAGGAAAAGTTGAAGGAAAAGGGGTCAAATTAGAGACTGTTTAGGGCCTGTTTATAACAGAGACAATTTTCTGTTTTCATTTTCTGTTTTCAAGTCTCTGGTTTTCTTTTTAGGGTCTGTTTTCGTATTGCATTTTTTGTTTTCCAAATCAGAAAACATGTTTACCATAATTTAAAAATTTTCCATTTCATTTTTACCAGAAAACGTTGACTAAATATTTGTAAAAGAAATGCACAATTACAAATGCTTGATAACACAAAAACTTAACATAAATGTTCCCCAACACTGAAAATTCAATAAGTGAGATTATGTTTATCATAACGATAGTCGTACTTGGACATCTCATACTTTATAATCATCCCACATTGCATTAGCAATTCTTTCTCGAATTTCATGCATTTGTTGTTGTTGAGACATATCAAACTTGAGTGATCCATTTTCACTTGAACTTGACGCCGTGTTAAATATCATATCCTCTTCCGCCGTGGCATCATCCTTTTCTTCTTGAGTTAAACTCATCTACTACAACATTGTAGATGAAATTGTAATGTGCTAACAACATAAGTTAACCAACCGATATCCAATTGATTTGAATATTAAAGTTGGATATCTAATTCAATTATGTTATATTTTAATACCAAAACAAACACCAATCACAGACTCAGTATACAATCTGCCAGCACACCAATCACATACCCATTTTCTTACCTTTTGTTTTTTGAAAATTACCCATTTTCTTACTTAAATCCAGTCACACATGTTTCCCAATTGTAATGATTTTTATAAGACGTGACTAAGTACTCTTTCAGAAGCTTGACGGTCCAAAAGAAGATTTGCTAAAGCACATATGGCTTGCTCCGCTACAGGCAAAGCTGAAGAACTAGCAAAAGCCACCAGTGAAGGCAACTTATATCTAGCAACTGCAGCAACATCACGGTTCTCTCTAACCGAGAGAAATATTGCAGCAAGACAATGACACACTTCAACTATGATGGCTTTAGACTCCACATCTAGAAGCTCAGTTAGTGAACAGATAGTTCTCATAGCAAGGTTACTTCCACGCTTAGTTTTAAAAGGCACGAGGTGGCTTGAGAGTTGAGGCGATTTTATTAATTTACCCGAGGCGCGAGGCGCTAGGCGATGAGGCACTCGCCTCACAGATCTCAGCCACATTTCTTTGGTGACATAATTTTAGCACTTCTACATGAAGCACTCTTCTCAAAAATACTTCAAACTAATAAACAATCTTAATAAACCTCATAAAAGAAACAAATATTTATTGAAGACAATAAGTCAGAAGCAAGAAATATATATTTAAAGGCATAATTGCCAAAAGTCAAGTCACTTAATAAATCTACAGTGACTCGGATAATTTTGAAGAATCTACGGTGACTTTGCAATACATAGTTAATAAATCAGTGTTATAACACTACAATATATATTATATAGTATTATAATATTATCATTGACAAACTATCATTGTTATGTAATAAACTATAAAATGATACATATTTAATTAACAAACTATCACACAAATACAGTTCTGTAAAATTAATTACAGACAGATTTGTAAATTTAAATAATTTAAATAATTTTATAAATTTAAACACTTAAAATACTTAAAAAACTTAAAAACTTAAAAGACTTGATTTCAGTTATCTAGCAAAACTTATAAATAGTGAAACATAATATGTACGGAGTATCAGTTATCTAACTTTTTATTTAAATAATTTTAATATTTTTATAAATATAACAACTTAAAATAAAAGAGAATAAATAGCAGTAGACAAAAAAAGTAAATACACTTACCTGCGACGCAGATAGCAGCAAAAGAAACAAGTTGGAACTCGGAAGACTTAAACACCTACGCAAGATAAGCGGAAACAAGGACTAACCAAACGCAGAAAGGAAGGAGAAGGCTGGAGAGACTTGGAAAGGGAATCGCCAAAAAAATCCATCGGACACTTACTTCTACGAGGCGTTAAAAGCGCTCGCCTCTCTGAAGCGCAAAAGCGCCAAAAAGCGCCGATTAAGGCGCGCCTTATGGAACCTGCGCCGCCTGGGGATATAAAAAGTGATGGACCTAACGCCTTTAAGCGCCTTTGCGCGCCTCAGGCGCGCTTTTTTAAACCAAGCTTCCACGCAAGTCTTTCCTGAGCTTATGAGCTTTATCATAATCTCAATTGCATAAATCGTGAAGGAATCAATAATGAATTTCATAAATCCTCCAAATCTTTCAAACATTATCACACCCAGAAATTTTTCAGATGTCACAAATATGGTTACCTTAGAACAATTTTATACAGATAATCAATGATGAGATGAAAAGTCACTTTGATTTTCATAAACGCAGAAAAACAATTCAAATTTTGAGATAGGTTTAATAACCTGTCAGCATAAATTGTGGAGAGTAATTTAAGATAGCTTTATTTTAACCTGTCAGCATAAATGAATGCATAAATCCAAAGTATCTTCTTCTCTACTGCTACTTCTTGACAAAACTAAATGATAAAAGTCATTCATCACATTACTAACCCCTCTAGCAAATCTGTTTCCAGATTCCTCTATCCAAGTTCTTGAAAGTTCACTCAATACAGGAGTATGAAAGAAGAAAGTACCAATGGTTCAACTTGTTCAGGGAACAAAAAAATTGAATGAGCTAATTTACAAGCGCATATACGTCTTTCGTATAGTATGAGGACTGATAAAATCATCATAGTATTAACTATTTAGAATAGAAAGGCAACATCGTACCTAGCATGGCTAGCAAACTGTGTAGTTCACTAACTCATTCTACTTTTATTTGGTTTTTTCTAATCACAGTTAATTAAGTTAATATAAACGAAGTAATATAACTTGTAAGAAAAATTAATTTAAGACAGATAAGTTATTGCAGCCCTGCACTCAAAAATTAATCAAGGACAAATATTATATCCTTTACTCCTTTATAGAGTAATAAATAAAAATAAAAACCAAAAAAAAAATATACCTTCAAATTCTGATCCATATATTGCAGCACTGCACCCAAAAACAAATATGGGGTGTAGTGCATATACTGGAGTAGGGCTTCTGGAGGGTTTTGAAAAAACTGAAGCTAAAAGTGAATTGGTTTTAAGGATTCCAAACGAAGGTAAAAATGAAATTAAAAAAAAATACGAAGCCCTAACCACGACTTTCGGGCTTCAAGAAGATGAATTGGTTTTCAGGATATCAATCGAATTTCAATTTTGAACAAGAAAAAGTGAAAATTTTATTTAATTTGAGAGCTTAACTTGAAATCCTTGCCAGAACAGGAGCCGACCGAAGAACTGGGAGATTCCGTGATGTCGGGGTGCAGCTCCTACCAGCGATGCCCTGTTTTGTGAACGTGGAGCGTGGTAGACATGTGAGGAAGTGGTAGGGAAGCTCTGGTAGGACGAAGCTAGAGTTGTGACGTGTTGGAGAAGAGGTGCAGTGTTTGGCAAAGCTCACATCTGACTCTTAAGCTGGAGCGGAGGAGGAAGGTCAGACTTAGTTAAAGCGGAGTAATGAAAGGTAGGCGGAGGAAGGCGAGCGAATACATGAGTAATTAAATATTACTGTAGCAGCGAGTTTTCTAAAACGAGAAAAACGGAGACTTGTTTCGGTTTCTTCATTTTGGAAAATGTTCAGGTAAACACGTTTTCTGATTTTTCTATCTCCAGTTTTCCAAATTTTTGGAAAAACAGAAAATATTTCTGTTAATAAACAGGCCCTTATTTTTTCATGACACATGAACACACACTTTGACACTCTAGTAGGAGCAATAGAATTTTACATTTTTTCCAATTATCGTCTGTCTCCACACCATATTGACTGACTTATCCCGAGGACCGGGTCAGGTAAGTCTCACATAGCCCTTCTCTTCTTGAACTAGTGACCTTAGAGACCCCATTCATCTTCTCAAACCGAGTCGAGATAGTTGTTAGGTTGAACAACAGGATTAAACATGATATAACTATAGGAATATAGAGGAGACAAATGATTCAGGATGTCCTACTAAATCAATCTGCAAGTAGTTTTGAGTTTACGGATGTCGCATACTCTTTGAAAACAAATCTGCAGAATTTGGGCTAGAAAGAGCAAAAGGGAAAACACTATTTCACCCCACTTTCATTAATTAGCTCGGGCTTTGTTGGATATATTGGTAAGGAATTAGCTTGATTGTTCATGCAAAGAACCATATTTTGCCCATTTGAAGGATATTTCACTTGCAATGGTTTCAGTCGTAGACCAGACCAGAAAATTTTAGTCCAATTAAAAACATCTGAAATGTAATTAGAGTATGAGACTCTAATTACATTGTTTGTGTATACTCCAAATTGAAGGAATGTGGGCTTGTGAGACATTTTTTAATTAAACAATACTTCATTTCAATGAGAGTTCTGCTTCAAATATTTTTTGTCGCAATGAAGCAAGGTTTAAAACTTCGAATGAATGTCAACCCATTCAGGACACTGGGTCAATGGTCAAACTAGTGGATCACTAACTAAACTGTTTGTCCCGGAGTATGTAAAAGAAAGTACGGTCACACATACATGTATATATAATATATAATTATATTACATGTTATTTTTTACAGTCTAGGTGTTAAGCTTATGTATACAATCATTTTCTATTTACACTTGTTGCGAGTAAACAATCAATCAAGAATTTCCCTCTTCTATATAGTAGCTCTATTTTTTACACATTCTACGTGGTAAACCTATGTATACAATCATTTTTTATTTACACTTATTCCAACTAAAATATTTTTATTTACATCCCAATAAGCATGCTCAGACAGCTACACATTTAAATTCAGGTTTCATAGTAGAAGCAACAGATAACTTGACCTGTTTTCTGCAGCAATATACACACAAGTAATCAAATCTTTTATCAACAAAAAGCCCAGTATTGGATGATGTTACATTCAGTGATTCGGAAGCATCAGATGATTGACAAGGGGACAAGAAAAACAAAAATAAAGGAGAAGGAAATCAATGGGGGCGAGTACCTATATTATCTGCACTCTTTGTAGTACTAAATTATAGAACTAAACTAATTAGGATTGCTTCGGAAGGAAGTAATGATAATCCCAACTGCTGATAATAGTGCGGATGTAAAAGTAACAGCAGATACAATACTTGAATGTGCCTTCATACCTGCTGGTATGCTCCACACGATTTCATCATCGTTCAGACTCACACTGCTACCAATAGGTTTTAACACACATCTTTCAGCAGCTGACTCCCCTTGCTTCTTGCACCGAAGAAATAAGTCAGCAACTCCAAATCTGACTTTTGAATATCCGCTTTCTTCGTGGTGCTGTCAGAAAGAAAGAGATTATCAGAGTAGTAAAGAATGCTACAACTATAAAAGAGACATGTAGTGTTATAAAGAAAACAGTAAAACAATGAATATGTCTTCCTATTCCTAGCTCAGATGACTGATTTCTAACCTGTCAAAAGTACAGCCGAAAAATCACAATGACAACTATTACATCAGTTTCGAATCTGCATAGTATATCACTTCTTTTACTCTTTCTTCTAAAAGATCTGTTTATTAAGAATCTTCCTAAAAGATCTGAGTTTCCCGTGTAGGCAGGGAAAACGGTTTCATTACCAAGCAACTTTTTTTGTGTTTGCAAACGGAAAATATTTCCTTTCTTTGACTCTTTAGACTTTATTAGGAAATTAGTACCCATTTTTTATAAGGGAAGTTGTTTCCGAGACACTTTTATGTTTTCTATTTTCATGAATCAAACATTTTAGCACACACAAAACAACTTATTTTGGAGGGTGACATTTCCCAAACCATGTTACTTTCTTGAAACCAACATAGCCTAAGAAATAAATGGAATAATGCCATCATAAAGGAAAAATAATTTCTTTTGCCGATTCGGTATATTAAATGGTGATACCACCTCTATCTTCAGATCAATCTAAATCTGAAAGACATCCATAGAGCCAGAAATTTCAAGGTAAGGCAAATGTATATCAGTTTTTGGCAGTTGAAGAATGACGAATTGCGTAGTGCTTACAGAATATCGTGCATGTATCGGGATTTCTACATTGAACTCTTTTACAATCTCCTTCTGTGCCAATTCATCAAAGGCTGCTTCTAAGTGAACTTCAACTATTGACTGGTTGGAAAGAAAAGAAGGTAATTCCAAATTTGCATCTCCAAAAACAAAACCGTCTCTGAGAACTGCAATGGAGATTCTGGAGTCAATATAGTAGAAAGTTGAAAATTAGAGCCCGTTTGGTAAGGGTTTCACTGGAATGGTTGAATATGTTGATTCATTTTAAAGGGAAAACCATTTGGTGAAATCGATTTCAGCCAAAACAAGCAAGTCAAACAATAATTGTTTTGCTTGTTCTAAATGCTTTCCACGTGAGTAGGATAAGCTGATTAATGCTACCAAACAAGACCTTGATCGGAAATTTCTAAAGCATAATAGGGAGAACACCTCCACGCTGAAGAAGATGTTCAAGCTCAAAAGGGTCTGCAAAAACCCCAAGAGGCAATTTCTCAATGAGTATGACCTCACACGTCTGAAAGGAAATATCAGCTATCCAATCTTGATGAATGCTGAATCTGATAAATGAAGATAGGCGGCGATGAGAACCTTCTCCAATCAGACGGCGTTCAAAGTTCCATAGCCTGCCAAATGTTCTTTCTGACCCAAAAGGGATCCTATGCACCATATACTCTTGGAAATTGGAATCACTGCAACTCTCATACTCTCTGAAATAAGACTCTAAGATGTATCTTGTATAACAAGGCAACAAACTGGAGTTGTGTTTGTTAAAGTTTACTTTGTAGTTGTTGTCAGTATCCTGAAACACAATAACAGGAAGAGTCTATGAAGAAACTTTAAAGGGATTAATTGGAACATAAAAACTACTAGGGAAATAAAATAGGCTAATAATTCTAAAATTTAATGGAAAATAAATGATCGGCTCAAACTTAAGCAACTTGTTTTAGATCTTCTTTTATTTAACCACTTCAGAATCTAACTAAGAAACAAGCAATTGCCATTTGCCACAGAAACTGTGTTTGGCTTGTCAAAATTCCCACTTGACATAAGAGATCTGCTATTAAGAAGAATATAAAGATGCTTAGAATAGTGAATGACATGAAACTGAAAAACTTAAAAGTTAAAACGCAAATACGCAAAATAAACTACTCCGTATATATTAGCAAAGCTAATGTATTTGAGTTCATAATTGGATAAAGAACATTCCCTCTTCAGAGAGTGGGTGAGTGACTGGGTAACACAACTTTTCGCTAGTAGGTGGAGGAATTTGTTACAAAGACTGATTAAGAGTTTATTACAGTAATTACTCTGAGTTTAATGGAGATGCAAAACACCTCTGCGAACACCTCAATAAATCAAACTTTCATGGCGATATGTAACCTTATATAATCCTTATTAACCGATCAACAATATTCCTGATCTACCCATTCCACATTGTTCTTCCAAAAGATGAAGATAGAATTGTCACTAAGAAGAACCATTCAATAAAATCAATAAACTAGCTCTATTGCCACATCTACCAAGAGTAAACAGCGGTGAATTCTTAATATCATGCATTATTTTAGTCAAACGCACCAAAAATTGTAAGCAAAAGTATATCACTCCAAAAGGGGGAGGGTTTACTGACCTGATAAGAAATTGAAGAGCATACACACATGGTAGAATGAAAAGCAAGCGCAATCAGAATGTGTGGAAGAGCTCTACCAAATTCAACTGCCATTTTACAGAGTAAATCCAACAGAGGCTACAGAAATGGTCCGAGTTTCCCCTCTCTCTATAATTATTTTTCACTTTGCAGAAGAGAGATACTCCTGTTAATAGAGCTTCGTCCAGCATCCAGGGGCGGATCTAGCATTACCATCCAGCGGGGGCCAATATGTAATGTACAAAGTATAAAATAACATCCATTGCAACAGGTCTGAGAGAATATGAGTTTAATAAATTAATACTAACAACTAATGGGAATATGTGAAAATAGGAGGCAGATATTGATAGGGACCTAGACAATAAAGACTGATATAATAGAATAATACCACGTAGTAATTAGTGTTAGTGTACAAGTGAGAGTTTTGGGCCTGACTTGGGCCAGCTCTTTAGGATAGGAATATTATAAAATGGGGAAGGAGGGTAGAAGAGAGGAGGCTGGAATTATCATTTTGGGTTTGGAACTTGGAGAGTTGGCACTCTTTAACTGCCTTTGTATTTTCTCTCTCTTTTCTGTTATACGAACCATCACCATTGTTACGTATCTTGATTTCTCCATAGTTAGCTCTCTGAAATTACTGTGAACTGGTCTGTAACCTATCATTGGTATCAGAGCTGTTGTTTCTGTCGTCTGTCAATAATCGCTAATCAAGAAGCGAAGGAAAGTCAGCTGCAGAGTTTGCAGCGCGAAGGGGAACTTAGTCTCGAAGAGAGGCGGAAGGCATGGAAGAGGAGTAACGAAGAGATACGGAATGATTTAGCAGAGTTGCGCAAATTGATACTGCAGTGGTACGGTCGTCGTGAGCGAGGAAGATCATTGACCATAAAGCACTATTGGAATTCGAAAAGCAAGAGCAGTTCGCAAACAGTTCTTCAACGTTCGCAGAATTCGTCAAGTTTGCAGAGTTTGTAGCTACCTGATTCGCTGAGTTCGCAAGCTTTGTCACAGGCGCTAACCGTTTCTACCACTTCGCCATTGCTAACCGAGCATCACCAATCGTCATCTCAAGTTTCTTCGCTGGGGATTTCATTGACGACACCAAATCTTGAGTGGAAGCCGGCTGAACCCTCAGTTCCGGAATCGAATTTAGACGAGGATACTAATCAGTCGACGGGATACTCACCAGATAATTTGGAAGAATCCGAACCCCTAAGATCTAATATTCCTTACAGTCATGAAAGAAATTGTACCTACCACACTGATCTTGTCTTGGGATTGAGCAACATTACCACAGGGGCTGATGAGGAGTACATGTATCCCCCACCTATCCTTACCTATGAGGGTCAGTAGTTTCATATGGCAAGTAATGGTCCACGGCTCAAGATACTCAGGAAAAGAGATAAGGATCGGGAAGGTGACCGTGTGTCCCAAAAACTTTTTTGTTTGTCCCAAAAAACTTTTTCATTTTTTGAAGCAATGAGTTTTTGACTTAGTTCATTTCTATTATCTCTGAACAAACTTAAACCACACAACTCTTACTTTTCTAATATCTCACTTCACATAAACGTGGCAAAGTTGAGATCATATCTTTTCTTTCTTTTACCGGGGGTCAGGAATCAGGATAGTGGCAGGAGATAGTTAGGGTAAAGAAGGCTCAGACTCCATGCATAGAGTTTTGACCACCCGAGACTTCCCGTACATGCGAGTGAGTCAATGACTAATTGAGCTAGATTGCTTCCTCTGTGTAATTCTATGGGGGTGTTTGGCAATCCACTATTGGTTGTTAGCTGATAATCGATTATATTGACCATTTGATACCAGCGTAGTCTGTTAGTTGTTTTTAACAGCCGCTATCATTTGCGAATTCAGGGGCGGATCAAGGATTGACATGTAGGGTGGGCTAAGTAGTTAAAAAAAATTGTTACTATGCATGCAAGGTTTAGCTCAAGGATGTTATTGAATCGAGCTTTTTTGGAATTATATACTTGAGTTCAAGCTTGATTTTGCCTCATTTAATGATCCGAGCTTAACGAGCTTCAAACTCAAACACAGACTAGGTTTTGAGTTTGAATAATTATTCAAGGTGAGTTTGAACCATTGTTTGCAATTGCGCAATGCCATAACGCCATATGGCGCGCCTCAGCTATTTCTATGGCCATTGCGTAAAATTGCATTGCATATTGCGTTTAGGCCTGAAGCATACGTATTTCACGTTAAGGCGTACGCAATAGTAGTAAAACGTAAGCCATGAGGCGTACGTATGGCGTACGATTAACTGTGTGGTGTTAAAATAAAATTACCCGCTGGGCCCACTTTTTAGTAAAACAGATGCGATTATATTGTTCAGTATATATGCAATAATCTTGTAGGCCGCTTTTTAGTTTAACCTGCTCTTTCCAGCACCTTCTTCCTGGCTCCTGCTTGGGTGATTCAGCCTTCATAAGTCGGCCAATCTTCTTGTACAGTTCTACGCTACTGCGTAGTTTTCTATTGTCGGCCAATATGTTTGATGCTTAGTTATTTGTTTTTATTGAATTAAATACTAAATATGGAGTATTAATGTTAATTTTCTGTCTATTATATTTTGTTATTATCCTTCAATTAAGTTTCAATATATCTACCCTATTTGAATGCTTAGTTTTTGTTTCTATTCAAGTTAATTTTCTGCCTATTAATATTTTATTATTATCCTTCCATTAAGTTTCAACTTACCAACATGTCTTTTCAGTTATTATATTGAACAATAACTTCAACTTTGATTTAATATTAATATCTTAATTTTTCTGTTTATTGATATATTTGTTGATTTCTGTTGATTTCCGTTGAGTAGTGTTTTTTTTATTATATAGTTATTTATTATTATTGTTCAAAAAAAAATATTTATTTATTTATTTATTTATTTATTTATTTATATTTACGCCTCAGTCATACGCCTCATTGCGCAATGAGGCTTACGCAATATGCAATTCTAAAAATTCGCCATGATTACGCAATACACAATTTCGAACATTGGTTTGAACATAGTGATGTTTGGTTTGATCTGGAATCAATCCTATCCTTTACTTACAAATTTTAGGAATAAATAATATACGAAGTACTACGTATATCTTAAAATTTAAACGTTTTCAGTGCAACTTTATAAATTTATTAATGATTATTAAAGATTCGAGTTTTTATTGAATAATTTGAACATGAATCCATTAACGAGTATAGTCTAAACTTCTACATTCGAGGATGTTTATCGTGTGTTAAAATTGAACACCGAAAATCTATCGAACCAAAATCAAGCTCAATTTCATAATAAGTAAATATTCATTTCATTTTTCTTTCTTCTCAATATGTTCATTATCCATTCTAAAAAACATTTTCAATATTGGTATGAATTAAAATACTTCTATAAAATTATAAAACTAATAAGTATTCCCAATTTCAAAATTCAATTGAACTCTTCAATTTTTTCTTACATGTCCACACAATAAATAACTCATTCTCTAATAATTGTATAATCAGTAAATCATTCTCTAAGATTGAATTCTATTTTTAATCATTATAAATTTATAATGAATTTTTGTCCTATTTTATTATGTACTGAAATTTTCAATTAATAATGAAGTTGATTAACTAACGGAAGGACGGCCAGAGACTCAATTAATAATTTAATCATTCTCTAATATACGGCCAGAGAGTAAATATTTCAATTAATAATTTAATCATTCTCTAATATACGGACAGAGAGTAAATATTTTAATTAATAATTATTCTCTAATATACAAGACAAGTTAACAAAATTACAAAATAAGAAAGTAAAGATCTAAAAACAAAAAACTCACCTGCAAGGCTGCGCCAGAGCTGGAGGCAGTCAGGCAGATCCCGGAGAGGAAGGACGGCTGGACGCGCGGCGCGGCTGATGGCTTGGTGTTCGCTCTTCGTCGGCAGCTTCTTGCCTTCGTCGCGAGCTCTTTCTTCGATTTTCTTTCTCTCCGGTTCGCTAAGAGCGCATCTGGCTTTGGGCTTTGGGCTTTGGGCTGGGCTGGTAAAAAAAATTGGTGGCCTGATAATAAAACATATACTTTCTACTACTACCCCCGTCCCCCTAAGTTTGGGACAAGAGAAAGTGGCACGGTTATTAATAAAAGTGAGTTTATGTGGTTGATATTGAATTGATAAAGTAAGAATAAAGTAAGAATGCTTTAGAACCACATAAATTTTACCAAATAAGGTATGAGACAATCTTAGTGGGACGGACCGAAAAGGTAAAATGGGACAATCATAGCGGGACGGAGGGAGTAATAAAAAACAAAATTTTAACTTACCTTTTTATTTTTTTAAGTACATTAACCATTATTTATATAATCACAATTATTATTATTATCTTGAATATATATATATATACATGCACACAAATATACAAAAATGCTCTAGTATATAACATATATTCACACATTCATGTATTTTTAGTATTTTATTTTTTAGAATCATGTATTTTTAGTATTGATATTTTAAATATGAATTTTTAGTAACTTTTAAAATAATATTTTATATAATCACTATTATTATTTTTATTTTGAGTATATTTTAAATATATTAATTACGATATTTATTGTCGGTGTTATTATATTCTCGTAATTTTATTTCATTTTATTTCATTTTTTGAATAGCTCTAAAATAACTAATGAGAGGGCTAGAATGAGAAGGTATATAAGGATTTTAAATAATAATATCAAAAGGACATTGTGAAAAGTTACTAAAAGTGGCTTTTTCATTTTTGGTTTTTCCGTAGCACACATCCAAATAAAAAAACTGTTTACTAAACACATGACAGATGTTTGACAAAGCCAAACAGTTAAAGTCATATAACTTTGCTCCTTATGAAATTTCACGCACAACACTTTGCTCCTGAGTAAACTTCACACACAACACTTTGGTCCTGAGTAAACGATGCACTAAATTGAACTTTACGCTAGAGTGAAAGACGATACGCAAAAACTAATATCTGAGTCGATGATGGAGAAAATGATATGAGGTTACTCATAATCCACCATTGATCGTAGATAATAGATATTTTTACCTGAAAATGAAAAAAAGACGTCAAAACAATGGTTAGCGCAGGAAGCACTATTCTTTAATTCCTGAGTCAATCAATCGCACAGGACCACTCTGATACCAGATGTTATGTCCTTTTACTAGTCTAACAGATGGATGCAGTGAATAGAGCGGACCACTCTGCTCTCTCTCTCTCTACATATTATATGTGCATAAATGTAATGAAAGAGTGATTTGAGCTCATTCCCTTTAGGTAATATATCTATATACTTGAAGAGCCGATGTGACTAAAGGAATTATTGGGCTCCTTTATGAGGTGGCCCAATACACATTTGACATTATTTACGTATAATAGTTAGTCTACATAAAACTAGTCTAATGTATACATTTAAGAGACAATTAAAATTAAATTGATCACAATAAAATATTCTCTAACAATCTCCACTTTTGTGATCAATGCACTGTAGTTTTTACTCGATTCTGTTTCTTGAAGCTCAATTCTTTTGTCGATTTGAATATTGGTAATATCTGCAAGAAGGTACGCCATATATGTTGCATCAAAAATAGTACCACGGGGAGCCTTCATCACTCATATTATACATATAAATGGTCTAGAATTGTGTATCACGACCCCTGAAGCAATAGAACCGTGATACAGACCTTTACCCTATAAATGTCTCACAGTTTTAAATAAGGAGTCGAACAAAGACGTGAAATCAGTACAAGTAGTCTCCCAGCACATAACAGAGTGTGCATCGTTCTTACAATTCTAATATTTGCCATCCAACCACTCCTCAAACTCTGAATCAATACTCACAATAAATACCAACCTATCACTTAAGTGAATTTGAAAATTCGTTCCAATGGTGCCATCTATTTTTGAGAACTTCTGTTGGTAAGTTACCCATTTTCCAACAGTATCCTTGTCGCTTAACTTTAAGCCAAGAGACTTTGTACCCCATAAACATACTCTCCACATGCCAATTCCGCTACACACAATACCTTTTATGATGTTGAGTGTAGGGATGGGTGCAAAAGTTGCTTTTGCGAACTCCTCTTGAATATTCATCAAGTACTCCTCGATCTAAAAACTTGACTATGAGATTGTTAATCAGTATCAGCTATGAAGTATTGAATATTAAATTGATCTTCTCTCTATTTAATCATTATTATATGTGATTTGTCGTAATGCTGGGAACAAGTGATGTCAGAGCGCGGGTGTGTGTCCAGTTGAATTTATTTGCATTTTTCAAATCAAATCACGATACCATTTTCGGAATTGTCTGTGTAAGGAAAGTAAATCTTTCCTTGTTACCATTAACTTTGTCCATTTATATAAGGAAAGTAAATATGTTCTTATTACCAAATATTCGGCATATAATTAGATTATATTCAAGATATCATTTGTAATTATGTTAAATCTTTAGTTAAAAATATTAGCTGCTCATAAACTGTATATATGTAATCATTCTAACAATCAATAAAATTATCTCTTCTCACTCTCTTACGTGGTATCAGGTTCAAGTCTAGTTGTGGTTTGACTGCTTGTGTAGCACCCGATTAAGGTTAGTTTGTTAAGGTTTGTTTGGTCCATTTATACACCCCAATATTGTCCCGTTTGGTTCGGGCTGAGGGGACTTGTTAAAAGTATTTTTCCCACACCGGAAAGTTATAAAACAGTAAAACATTATACTATCGTATAAAACTTTGGACTACTCCTTCTATCAAGTTAACTTTGTAGGATGAAACATTGAGTCATAATATGGGCTTCTTTTAAGCTAGAGCCATTATATACATGACATCTTGCTAGATACAAAAATGCAGGATGTCAAGGATGTTTTCTTTTGGGCTAAAATGTGTTGGTCTGGTCTGATCGCGTCTGGTCTGGTCTGGTAATCGTCTGGTCTATGTGTATTTTATAACTACGAAAATCTGGTCTGGTCTGGTCTCGTTTGGAACGGAAAACAGTCTAAAAGAAAACATTCTAAACTTAAGTCAACGTCCATGATGTCCTCATTTTAGCCGCTTGCAAACAGTCCCACATTCACACATCTTTCACTCTTCCGACACGTGATTGGCTCCCTCCAATATCTTCAATTAACTCGTCCTGACATCAACTTTGCCGTTAACCGACTAGCTCAACGAATACATGCACCCACAAAAGATGATTGGACTTCCTTAAAGAGATTATTACAGTAACGCTGATGATCACACAAATTGGTGTTCTATCAATGCTTACCTAGTGTTTGAGGGCCATGCTTGCTATCTTGGAAGTCATTTAAACAAATGACATTTGTGCGGTCTTTAACGGAGGCTCAGTATCACGCACTAGCGTCAGCCACAGCTGAGGTTGCCTGGGTTCAATCCCTCCTCTTAGAGTTTCAAATCTCTACTCCCAATCTTCCGACTCTGCTATGTAATAATGTCATTGCAACCTACATCTGTGCGAACCCCATTCTTCACTCCCACATGAAACACCTCGCCATCGACTATCATTTTGTTCGGTAGCGTGTTCAGAAAAGGTTGTTTCGTGTTCGTCATGTTCCTTTTGATGATCAACTCGCCGATGCACTGACTAGACAACTTTCTTGTGGACATTTCCTCCTCTTACGTTCCAAGCTCAGGATTGCTCCTGCCACTCCTGGCTTGAGGGGGCGTGTAGAAACAAAGTAAATCTTTCCTTGTACCAATTCTTTACATTTGTATAGGGAAAATAAATATTTTCTTATTACCAAATAGTCTGCACATCATTAGGTTATATATTTAAGATATCATTTGTAATTATGTTAGATCTTTAATTACCTTAAATAGCTGCTCATAAACTATATATATGTAATCATTCTAACGATCAATAAAGTTATCTCTTCTCACTCTCTTATACTATCCCGAGCCGGTCCCGTACTGGTATCAACCGGGATGGGACTGATACATCTACAAAATATCATGTTCTGTCCTGGTGTTCCGTGTGAAATTATTAAGTTATTATATTTTAAATTTCTAATGCTATGTAATAGCATAGACCAACTATAGATTTCTAGACCTTGGCTTCCCTGGTGTAATTTTGTTTTATTTCAGGGAATTCCTTTGTCTTATGACTATGAATCATTTTTTCTCCAGCAAGTGAGTTTGTGTCTAAGAGGGAAGAATCATCTATTTCCGAATACCCTAAAACTGATAATGTTTATACTTGAGAGATCATCCGTAAATTTGCGGATCAGGTGTAACACTTAGTAATTTTTATTATCGTAGAAATTGGATAATAGCTCATGTGACACTGCTCCCAATTTAAACTTGGATTCATTAATCCGTTGATATTAAAATCTAAGTGAACGTACAAATACTAATTTCGATGAGGATAATTAGTTAAAGTCATGATTATATATTCACTTTGAAAACTAGTTACAAGTATATTAATCATACTAGAAATGATTCATTGATTAAATTAATACCGATTAATTTAATTGTGGGTCGGACCCCAAACATGGGGAGAGACCAACTAATATATATTCTTGGACCACGGTAAATTGAATAAAAAGCCCAATGATAAGGTAAACAAAGTGGCATTCTAGCCCAATTTACCGGAAATAGCAAGTATAAGGGTGAAAGGTTTCCTACACTTTAATTCGGGGTATCCCATATAAAATGTAACCCATAATAAACGGGAGGATTAAGTTGTAAATAGCTTCGGGACGGATTAAATAAAAGGAAGGCAGCCCATTACACAACACAACTCATTTTAGCCCAAACCTTCTAATTATAGAAAGGATAAGGGGTAGGCTATCCTCCTCTCATTTTGAGAAGCATCCTACGCCTCATAGAGAGGGGAGAGAGCTCATAAGGAGCTTCACACGTTCTTTGAACAATAAGGAAGAAAGAGGGGGATTCCGGGAAGAAGAAAGCTCAATTCTAGGTAACCGAATGCTAATCTCGTTCAAACTAGTTATTTACTTTGTTTAGTGAATATGATTTTTAAGAAATCATATGTTGGAATA